TTTAAAACTGAAGGACCTGCTCCACAAACAGGAGCCAAGGGCGAGGTCTGTGCCGTCAAGGCCGACGGTTTACTAACCACCATGGGACAGGGTGCCTGGGGGGCTCAGTCGTTAAGCGTTTGCCTTCGGCTCAGGTCATGATCTCAGGGTCCTGGGCTCACCGCACAGGGCTCCCTGCTCGGTGGGGAGCCTGCTTCTCCCTCTCCCACTCCCCCCTGCTTATGTTCCCTCTCGCTGTCTCTCTCTCTGTGTCAAATAAATAAAATCTTTTAAAAAATAAATAAATAAATAAACACCATACGGGACGGGGGAGGAAGAAGAGAGGAAGCCCTACACAAGGGGCTAGGAGCCTCTTGCTCCTGTCCCCTGGTAAGGGGCGCCCTCCCCACAAGTTCTCTTAGGCCCGGACCTGAGAGGCAGCCCAGTGTGCAGTTGCTCAGCCATGGCAGTCTGGAAGGGGCATCCTGGAAGGGGCCGGAGCAGCAGAGCCAATGTCCTGCGCACCGCAGGCCTTTGCAGAGAGCAGTGGATGTGAGCACACCTCATGCCTTGGGACCCACGCGTCTGCCGGCCGCCCCGGGACTCCCGCGGACCCTGCAGCACCTTCAGCCGCAGCCGCGGTGCTGAGCCACAGTCAGAAGGGGCAGAGCCGAGCAGGGGCCAGGAGGCAGCACTTGGGCGCGGCTGGGCGGTCCCTGTTCGCTGCCCCGTCCCGTCCCACCCCCATGTGGCCCCTGTCCGTCAGCCATCAACACAGACGATGCAATTCAGCGCCGCCACCCGGCCTCTACTTTTCCTGACGGGTGAGGAAGTGAATCCTTTGTTACGAGGGGGTCATCCCCAGCTTCAAAAGTTCCTCTTCAGGGTGAAGCCCAAAGCCTCCCGCCTTCTGGGCATCCAGCCCACCCCGGGAGTCCAGCACCTCGGCACCACATGATGTCCAGAAGACAGACTGAAGACACGGCCACAGACGTGGCTAGAACCAAAGACCTCAGGAAAGTGGCGAACAGGCTCGTCACGGCCGAGCCCACGTGGCACGATCGCGTCAGGCACTCGCACAGACAGAAAGCGGATGCATGACCGCCAGGAGTCCCGGGATGGGCGGCTAAGAGCGTGGGGTCTCCGTTTGGGGGACAAAAGTGTTCTAAAATCAGACGTGGGCCGTGAATATGGGTGAATCGTGCTAGACGTGAGTCACACCTCAGAAACGCCACTGAAACACCTGACTGGAGGGGCACCGGGTGGCAGAGCTGGCTGAGCATCCAGCTCAGGTCACGGTCTCAGGGCCATGAGATCAAGCCCCGCATGGGGTTCCGAACTTGGGGGGCAGAGTCTGCTTGGGATTCTCTCTTCCTCTCCCACTGCCTCCAGTCCCTCCCTCTGCTTCCTCCCTCCCTCAAATAAATGAACCTTTAAAAAATATTTAGCCTGATTATTGATTGAAGAAGTACACGAAAAAGGTACCACGTGACCACACCCGGTGAGGGCGTGGGAACGCGGACACTCGCTGGCTGCTGGCATCTGGTGGGAAGAAACCTCCAGGTCCTACCGCCTCCCACTTCCACGCCTTGGCGCCTGTCCGGCCTCCAGGACCCAAAGGTGTTCGCACACGCACACACACACGCACACCAGGATTCGGGGACCAGAGCTTGACAGCTGAGCGACTCGCAGAAGCAAAACCCTGCAGACCACCGGTGGCCCCAGCAAGGAGCGCAGCTTCCCATCGGTGGAAACAAACGCGCTCGGACTCTGCACGGCCGGGGGCGCGGCGCGGGACCATGAGGGGCGGCCAAACGGCAAACCACACCCCGCCGGCCCCACTGCAACACGCCGACACGGGGACACGAGGACACACACAAGCGGTACGAGTGAGAAAAACCCAAGAATGATGAGCCTGTCAGAGGGGGCTCCCTAGGACTCCTATAGCACTGATAATTGCCTCTTTTTTTCTTTTGTAGGATTTTATTTATTTGAGAGACAGCGCGCGCACACGCACGTGCACTAGCATGGGGAGGGGCTGAAGGAGACGGACAAACAGGCCCCCTACTACAGGGAAGCCAGACTCGGACTCAGGGCTCAACCCCAGGACCCTGGGATCCTCACCTGAGCCACCCAGGCACCCTACCAGCTGCATTTTAAAAGCTGTTAGAGGGGCGCCTGGGTGGCTCAGTCCACGAAGCGTCTGTTTTCACCTTAGGTCATGATCCCAGAGTCCTGGGGTCGAGCCCCGCATCGGGCTCTCTGCTCAGTGAGGAGCCTGCTTCCCCCCCCCCCCCCCCCCCCCCTCTCCTCTGCTCACGCTCTCTCTCTCCCCGTCTTTATCAAGTAAGTAAATAAAATAAAAAAATATATGGGGCACCTGGGTGGCTCAGTGGGTTGAGCCTCTGCCTTCGGCTCAGGTCATGATCGCAGGGTCCTGGGATGGAGCCGCACATCGGGCTCTCTGCTCAGCGGGGAGCCTGCTCCCCTCCCCCTCTGCCTGCCTCTCTGCCTGCTGGTGATCTCTGTCAAATACATAAATAAAATCTTTAAAATAAATAAAGCAAACAAAAGCCGCTGGAGAACTGAGGGCGTAAGGGTGGCAAGGCTGCAGCGTCGGATCCCCAGGGGCTGCCTTCGGGCACCCGCCGCGGAGCAGAGCCACCGTGGGAGGGCGCGGGCGGATCCTTGCTCGTGGGCGTGCGCTGGGCTGCCCGACACAGCGCCGGGCATGCAGAGGCCCTGCCGTCTCTCGGAGCAGGCGCCCCTCGCTGTGCCACCTTGCTGGGGCGTCACGAGCACGTGCGTCGTCAGGCGGCAGGCTCGTGCGGCCCAGGGGAGGACGGCGACGTCGGTGCCACTTTCCCAACAGCGCGTGCTTACATGGGGTTCGCGTCTCTGGGCCACATGCTGGGGATTCCTGCATCATTTCCACCTTGTTACTACCCTTGTTGGGTGGCCTGTGAGCGGTGATCTCTGATGTTCCGTAAACTGGCCGACGAGGGAGCAGCAGGGCTGGAGAGGACGGATTCTGGAAGCAGCTCTCCAGTGGGTGAACCGCGCTCAGTGCCTCATGCTACAGAGGACTCGGTCGCGAAAGAACAGGCGATGCAGCAATCGTCACTACCGTCACAGTTTAAGAACCTGCCATGGCCACGCCAGCCTTCGGCGGGAGCCACCCCGCTCAGTCAGCAGTCACCCACAGCGAGGCCAAAAAGCGGACATCCCAACAGCTCAGATGACGCTTAGCGCTTCTCAGCAATGAAGTATTTTTAAGTTAAGGCGTGCACGTGGCTTTTCAGACATCCTCCTACTGCACACTTCGCTTTTGCCTGCGCTGGGAAACGAAACAAGCGCACCTGACCCGCCGCATTGCCGTATCCGCACCGTGGCGGTCTGGAAGTGAGCCTGCGGCATTTCTAGAGCCTGCCCGCACCTCGGGCACAAAGCAGTGTGGGCAGAAGGGCCTGGAAACCGCAGAGCTGGGCGCGAAAACCCAGACAGAGTGCCGAGTGACACTGAGGCTCTGCGTGCTGTGGAGAGCACGGGGGGCTGCGAGCACCAGGTCCCTCCCTGATGGTGGGCCACTGCTGCAGACGCAGACCCCTCTGCACAGGGCTGGGGCTTCAAGCACACAGCCACTCTCCCTGTCGCAGGATGCACAATTCCTGTGGTACACGGGGCGGGACGTCCATGCGTTTAAATTGCACGAGGCGGCAGCGGAGCTGGAGACTTCTTAAGGACAAACAATGAATCTCCCAGCCTTGCAGGGACAAGGAGACAAAAGCGCAAAGTCTGGAGGCTACACTCTAGGGAAAGGCAAGAGTTAGCAGCAGACGGAGACCCGCACAGACGCGAGTCGGACCTGACCCAGCTAAGTACCCCGCCGATGCAGCGGAAGGCCCATCAACCGTGGCCCCACCGGAGGAAGGGGCGGCCCCTCTGGCAAGGTCCTCCCGGCCTGTGGCTTTTTAATATGCCATGACCAGCGCACACCAAAAACTTCCCAAACCCCTGCAGAAAAGACAGACGCCACAAAGGAAAAACAGGCAATAGCTGCAAACCCACAGATGATCCACATGCTGGACACAGGGTCTCGGAACACCAGGAGCACAGCCCATCATCAGACGGGAACAAATGAGCCCATCAAAACTGACCCAGAAATGACAGACCGACCTACAGATGAGGACACTGGGACGTTCATCTTAACTGCCCCACACATGTGCTCGCGGTCGAGTGCAGACACATGAGCCGCAGGTGCGAGCGCGGCAGCGACAGCCTCAGCGCCTGGGCCACAAGGGCCAGGGCCAGGACGCACAGGCCGCAAACCCCGCGGCGCAGGCTACTCAGAAGGAAGCGCAGAAAGAAAAGCAAACGGCAAGAAGCCAGGCAGCTCCATCAGTGAAGCGTCTGCCTTGGGCTCAGGTCATGCCCAGGGTCCTGGGATGGGGCCCTGCGTCGGGTCCCCTGCTCAGCGGGGAGCCTGCTTCCCCTCTCCCTCTGCCGCTCCCCCTGCTCCTGCTCTGTCTTGCTCTCTCTTTCCTCTCAAATACATACGTAAAATCCTAAACACAACAACAACACACACAGACTGAAACCAAGTGGACGGACCATCAGCGAGCTGCAGGACGGCTCCAAGCAGCCAAACACACAGAGTCCCCGGAGGAGGAGGACGACGACAAACCCACCGAAACCAAACACTGAGAAGACACTGGACACCCGGCACCCTCAGAATTCGAAACACGGTCCTGGAACATCTCCCGGCCTCCTCCCTGGGACCGTGGGTAAGACGGGAACTCATGCGGCCCTTATGTTCAGACACGGAAATGGCGTCTGTGCCGCAACGGCGGAGCCGGTGCCCCGGCCCCAGCCCCAGCCCCGCGTCCGGCTGCGGGAGAGAAGCCGCACACGCTCTGGAAGGACCTCGCCCATGAGGCGTGCCTGGAGCCACCAGAGTCACACCCTGGTCAGCGCTCATACCATTCTCCGGCCGTGACTCTCTCGGCCCGCGGCGTTCTCACCTTATAGAACACGTCGGGCACGTACTGCTCGCTGCTGGACTCCTTGGCGTAGCCGAGCTCGGGGGCGTCCTTGCAGGGCAGCAGGCACTCGTCACGGACCAGCGCCATGCACTGGTTGGACACCTGGTACCCTTCGAAGTGGACCTGGTTGTCGGGGCCACCTGCGAGAGAGAGACCTTCATGGGAGGAGGCCGCCAGAGGAGGTTCGAGTCAAATCTGTGTCTGTTACTCGTCCCCTCGGACCCACAGAACAAATGAGCTCACAGGAGTCTGTCCTGGGTTAAGAGTTCGAAGGCATCTGACGGCCACCTGACGAGTGGCCTGAGCACGCGGCCGGGGAGATGGGGCAGGGGGACGCGCCTGCGGCCCCGCCAGCGCCTAACACCAGTCCTGCCGGTGCGCCGAGCGGCGGAGCACCAGGGCGGAAGGGCAGGCAGAGCCCCGAGTCCCAACAACCTCCTGTCCTGGAGCGGACGGAGCAGGGCGATGGCGATGGACGGGACAAATGGCGAAAATGAGGCCAGCATTTGCACCGGGGTCTCTACCCCGCAGCCACCCACACCGCCGCCCCACCGTCTTACAGCACCGACCCGGGCACTGCCCAGTGTGGCTTTCAGCCCAAGCTCTGTCGTCCCACCACAAAACCTCCAATGGGACTTCAGATTAGGGACACAGACAGTGCAAAAGCTGCTGAGAGGGAACCAACCAGTAAGTCCAACGGAGCAGGCACCTGGCTGGGATGGGACCCTGAGGAGGACGGCACCCTGGGGATGGTGGGCCCCTAGCCTCTGGAAGAGGGAAGACCACATGGTGCGGGCGGCGGACCTCCTCCGCCACCTGCGCCGACGGGTGAGGCTCTGACGACACTAACGTCTGCTATCATCTCCGCCTTGAGAGAATTAAGAAAACCCCACATCTCGACTTCAGTTTCTTTGACAAAACCAAAATACGGATCCGGGAATAGAAATTTCTTCTGGCTTTCAAACACGTACCAGAAACCAGACCTGGTGGCCAAACAGAGAATGTGAAAGGCGAGGGCAGAAGAGCCTCCGAGGGAACAAGCCAGGGACCTGCTCTCTGTCTGGCTTCCGAAAGCGCAAGCGGGCCCCAGAGACCCACCGGACAAGCAAGCTCAGGGCCTCTGCCCTCATGCACATGCTCAGGGGAGCTGGCCACGACCACTGTCTGACGGTGAGGCTGTGGACGCAGGGGGCCTCTCTCTGCTGCGCTCGGGGTTAGGGACGTGTCACGTACCACAGACGAGCACACTGGGTGCGAAGGAGCAGTGGGGAAGGGGGGGAAGGAGTCCTGTGGGGCCGCCCACCCCTCCCAAGTGTACATCTGGCTCTTGTTTGACTTCAGGTGTTGTAAATTTGCACCAGTTTTTATTTTTTTTTTTAAAGATTTTATTTATTCAGTTGACAGAGACACTGTGAGAGAGGGAACACAGCAGGGGAAGTGGGAGAGGGAGAAGCAGGCCTCCTGCCAAGCAGGGAGCCCGATGCGGGGCTCCATCCCAGGACCCCGGGATCATGACCTGAGCCGAAGGCAGAGGCTTAACAACTGAGCCCCCCAGGCACCCCTGCCCTGGCTTTTAGATTTAGCATTAAAGTGTGATGGGTCAGGGTGCCTGGGTGGCTCAGTGGGTTAAGCCACTGCCTTCGGCTCAGGTCATGATCTCGGGGTCCTGGGATTGAGTCCTGCATCGGGTTCTCTGCTCGGCGGAGATCCTGCTTCCCTCTCTCTCTCTCCGCCTGCCTCTCCATCTACTTGTGATCTCTCTCTGTCAAATAAATAAATAAAATCTTTAAAAAAAAAAATAAAGTGTGATGGGTCATAAGAGAAAAACACTCGGCCTTTGAAAAACAGAGAAAAACAGAAAACAGTAGTTGTAAAATTGAAGGCTGGTTTAAAAAACCAGCTGGTTTAAAACACCTGAGTGGCTCAGTCAGGTAAGTGTCTGACTCTTGGTTTCAGCTCAGGTCATGATCGCAGGGTCATGGAATCTGCTGGAATTTCGCTCTCTTCCCCTCTGCCCCTCCCCACACATGCTCTCTCACTCTCTCTCTCAAATAATTTTTTACGCCCTTTCCCGTGTGGAGAAGCAGGACAGCAAGCCCTCCTGGGTTTCTTTATCCTTTTCAGAAACCCCACACTGGCCGGGCTGTCGAGGCAGTGAGACAAGCTAACAATAGGACTGTTCCCTTCTCAAGTCACCAGTCTGCGGAGGAAAGCTGCATGTGGGAGGAAAGGGCCTGTGGCAGAGGCACGCGGTGCCTGGGACGCCGCCTCGGGAGGGGATGCTCACGGCCCAGAGATGGGGATGGCCAGCCCGCCGAGACACAGAGAGGCCAGCTCCAGGGCAGGGAGTTTAAACGCAGGCTCCATTGTGCACTCCCCTCCCCCCGACCCTTCGAGCTCTCACAGGATCGTGCTGCTCCTCCTCCACAGATCTCAGGCTAGAGCTGTTCTTGGCTGGGGGGGGGGGGGGGGAAGGGCACCTGCGGCTTGCGCAGCAGCTCAGGGAGCTGTGAGTACAGTACATGCAGAAGTACCATAAACCCCGGAGGAAGCAGTCGGTCTCCTGGGAGCGGGCCACACACACGCAGGCCTGCTCCCTCCCAGCCCGTCAGGGATTCAGGGACGGGGCACGGCGAGCACAGTTCAAACAGCTCCATGGGGCAGGGGCACGTTCCTGGTCAAGAACCACTGACACAGGGGGACAGCACACTTTGTCTGGAGGTCCAAGATGTGCGACACTGTGGATGGCCGCCCCTCCTCTGGCCGCCCCTGGGAGCCCGGGAGAACTGCGAGCCTGAGCTCATCACAGGGCTCAATGAGGGGGGACGTCAGCAGAGAAATGCAGGGACCCCAACGGCACATCTTACTGTAAATTATTTACTATCTACGGTTCTGAAGCCTTTCAGTGAAGTGGCGATGCTGAAGGAAAAACTTCACAGATGATCTACACTCTCCAACCTCCCAGCAAGAGGTATGAATCAGTGACTGAAGGTACAGGCAGCCCCAAGCAGAAACTATTTATAATTCTAAAAACGTGCCAGTTCCTTTGGCCCACTGAGTAACTCCCCACAGACAAAGTACTTAAAAGGTCTAGATTACCATGGGAGCCCATGAAACCCAGGACAGCAGTTCTGGAATCCGTGGAAGTAATTTTTGATTGCCCTCAATGATGGGGCCCTGGGCCAGGGGTGTGGGAGGGGAGCTGCCAGCCGGAGTGCAAGAGGTCAGACTACACTGTGTTTGGGGGAGTCCCATACAACAAAGGACATTCCATGTCCCACACAACCTTGAATGTACCTGCATGCTCTTATAGGCAAAACCCCCCATTTATGAACTCAGATTAGAATCAACTGTATTTTAGGGACACCTGGGTGGCTCAGCTAAGCGTCTACCTTCGGCTCAGGTCATAATCCCAGGGTCCTGGGACTGAGCCCCACATCAGGCTCCCTGCTCAGTGTACAGCCTGTTTGTCCTTCTCCCTCTGCCTGCCGCTCCCCCTACCTAGGCTCTCTCTCTCTCTCTCTCAAACGAATAAATAAAATCTTGAAAACAAAAAACAAGGGGCTCCTGGGTGGCTCAGTGGGTTAAAGCCTCTGCCTTCGGCTCAGGTCATGATCGCAGGGTCCTGGGATCGAGCCCCGCATCGGGCTCTCTGCTCGGCGGGGAGCCTGCTTCCTCCTCTCTCTCTGCCTACTTGTGATCTGTCTGTCAAATAAATAAATAAAATCTTTAAAAAAAACAAAACAAAACAAAAAAGGATTGTGATCCCAGGGTCCTGGGATCGAGTCCTGTGTCAGCGGGGAGGCTGCTTCTCCCTCTCCCTCATGAGTGCCAATAAATAAAATCTTTACAACAAAGAAGAAGAATCAGCCGTTTTTCTACGTGAGCACAAACACCAATGCAGTTTGAATCCGCGGTGAATTCTCTAGGAGAGTGAGACCGAGCTGGCGGAAGGAAGGGGGCATGTTGAGCTCAGAGATTCCCGGAGGCTCGATGAGCGTCTCAGGACAGCCCGGCACTGGCACCAGGGAGGCCAGCACGCAGGTAGCCGCTCTGGGTCAGTCGCTGTGCTGTCTGTCCCAGCGGGCATCAGTCCCCAGGCCCTGGTGAGCGGAAACAGGCTCCTCTGCGCTACGGCCGGGTGGCCCCTCTGTTCCTCTGCTACATTCACACGAGCAGGGAGGTGTGTCATCTGTGAGTTTCCCTCTCCAGACAGTAAAGGGTACGTCCCGAATGAGGGGGTTTCCGAAGGGGGTGTCTGACGGGTTTGAGAACCGCCAGTCTAGACAACCGTACCCAGAACGCGTGCCACCGGCGCCGCGGGAAGTAAAAAGGGAGCGCGTTTCTGCCCTTGGTCAGGTGCAGAGCAGGCGCAGCGAATTCCGAAGGCCGCGACAAGCGCTCCTCCCTGTGCCCTCCCCGACGTCCGGCCCGAGCTGCTCTCCCCAGCTGTCCTCACAGAACCACCCCACGCCGAGGAACTGCTTTCCCGTAACCCTGGTCAACACTCCAATCCACTCCCCTAAGTACCGGGCCCGACAGCGGTGCCAGGAAAACCAACCCACGCAACGGATTCACACGGGCCCGAGAGAGATGCTGCCGCTGCCTCTCCTGCCTCAGAAGCGCGCGTGTTTCAAAAAGAAAGGGACTGTCCGTCCAAATGGATCATATGAATTCAGGCAGTGTTTCTCTTCATGGTTCTCACGACAGTCCCCTCGATGGCATTAAGAGGGGATCCAGTCACTTACCAACATGTCTGGGCTCCCTGCGGACTGGTGTTTGTTAAACTGGGGGAGCTTTCTACAGACCTGCGGAAGGACGGTGACCGTGAACAGACTGGGTCACCGGCTCAGCGGGAGCAGAAACCAGGTCCTCACAGGACCCAAGTTAGTGTTTACTTTAAAAAATTAGCAAACAGACGATGATTTCACAAGTTGGTTCTCCGAGTTGAAAATTCCTCTTCTTTTTAAATTGTACAGTCCTACGACCAGTGTTTTTCTAAGATAACAGGCCAAGCGTATTATGAAAGATTTGATGGCACCTTCTTACAGGCCACGATTTTTTACGATGTATTTATAACGTACATGACGTGGAATCCAACACACATGTCCTCTCTCCCCCCCCACACACTCAGAAATGGTCTTAAAAGGACTCCCACTCATAATGTCAAAAAGAAGGAACAAACAGTAAATCCTTTCCTCCTACAGAACCAGAGTCGTCTTCAGTTACTGGAAAGGGCGAAGACAGCCCCAAGCTAAGATCCAGAATCAAGCTGACTTCGACTTAGAACGTGAGTGGGTGAGAGAAGGGCTATACTGAGCTCGATTCTAGTGGTTCTGCGGGCGATGCAGCGAGTTCAGGATTTTTACCATAAAACAGAAAGAGGAATCCGTGTCCCAGGGCACATTAAGAAAATCTCTAGTAGCTAAGTTCAGAATGAAACTCTACCAAAAGAGGAACAGAGCACATACCTGTAGCCACCGCAGTGACGAACTTGGAGCCGAAATGTCCATCTGGAGAGAGTCGACATATGTTAGGGTGCTTATTCTGGAAGTCTCCTGCAGTGATACATTCTTCCGAACTCAGGAAATAGGTGTCCTAGGAAAAGAGAGCCGGCCTGTCCAGTTTTACAGCATCACACGGAGATATACTCCTATTTCTTCTTTAGAAAACACCAAGGACGGAACAGTGGCTTGTCAACATTGCACGAAACAGACACCTGCGGTCCCTAGCTGTCACGGGCCCCTCCTCTCCCACCACAAATAACAAGACCAGAACCATCCAGCATTCATCCCCACGGGTTGACCTCCAAAAAACACCAGCGGGTGAAGGCCAGGGGGTGGGGGTGCTGCTCTACGAGTCACAATCAACAGACCCACCCTTAATTTAACAAGAACACAGTGTTGAAAATAATTTCATCTAAAAGCCAGGATGAGGGACACCCGGGTGGCTCAGTCGTTAAGCGTCTGCCTTCGGCTTAGGTCATGATCCCAGGGTCCTGGGATCGAGCCCCGCACTGGGCTCCCTCTGCTGCTCCCCTTACTTGTGCGTGCACGCGCGCTCTCTCTCCCTCCGTGTCAAATAAATAAATAAAATCTTAAAAAAAAAAAAAAAAAAGCCAAGATGGGCTTTAGAACCAAGCTGCAGGCTGAGCTCCATGGGCACTGGGCACTCCGTCCGATCTCACCTTGTTGCGGCTGTATCTGACGGTGCCCTTCCGGGTGTCTTCTGAGACAAGGTCTGTAAATATCCAGCCAACCTGCAGGAAAAGGAAAGGATCCTCTGAGCCTCTCTCTGAAGCAGGTGATGAACGTTTTCTGGCCTCTGCTCAGAGACCTTAAGAGCATTTCTGTAAGAGACTCCTGTGACCCAATTCTTTGTAGGCGAGTCCGATCCTCTGCTAAGCCACCAGGGCTTTCAAAGTCCACCCAGCTGAAAACGGCCACCGGCCTCTTGCGCTGCTGGACCGCAGGCGATGGTGCACGAGCGGAGCTCACCACGTTGTTAGAAGCCCCATGGCAGCAATTCTGTACCCAGCAGTGTCCTGGGTTCAGGGGGAACGCCAGGGCGAACAAGATTAACAGAATCCCTACACCCCAAAGAGAAAGACAGACAACGAGCAAGCCAAGAGAGACAATGCTATTTCAGACGCTAAGGCTTTATTTACCCATGAGGTAAGAAAACGGACTCCCTAGAAGACACGGAATCTAAGGACGACCGCCACAGAGTCCTCACCCAGTGGCTCTTCTGCGTTCCGCTACAGGACTGAGGAGAGCAGGCAAGGGCACAAGGAGCTGAAAGCCCATCGCTACGGCACCCTTAATTAATGCCAGTCCCGGGCAGCTGCCTGTCTGGTGCTGTGCGGGCCCTAGCCCTCCTGAACCAGGACCGGGCTGCGAGGTTTATGAGTGGGGCCGGACCCCAGGGACACATCCTTTGGAGAAGCGACGTGGTGCCCATGACCTGTCTGGCAGAACCTTGATACAAAAGTCTTCAAATCCATCTCCGGCACACAAGACCACGCCAACATGGAGAACTTCATTTTCTTCAAAAATACCCAAGCAAACAAAAAGCCCGTGGAGGATGCAGCGAAGAAACAGAGACCTGCGGTGTGAACAGGCCGAAGCAGCGAGCAGAGCAGAGCCAGGCCTCTGTCCTTGGAGATCTATTACAACTACAGCGGTCATAAACCGCACGTCTAAAACAAAGGTCCAAAAGTTACACTAACTTCCCTTTCGAACGAGAGAAACGTCAAAAACTTAAACGAAAGTATGACCCTAAATCAAGACCCTGACTCCTGGGGCACTTGGTGGCTCAGTCGGTTAAGTCTACAACCCCTGACCTCAGCTCAGGTCATGACCTCAGGGAGTGTGAGTCCAACCCCCACGACGGGCTCCGCCTCGAGCTCCACACTGGGTGTGGCACCTACTGAAAAAAAAAAAGATGCTGATTCCTTACTAGAAACAATAGGACTGTGTTTCTTAAACCTTTTGTTGAAATGACTTTGCTCTGCAAGCCCCTAGGCTTACAAACACATTCCCTATTTTCCGTGTTTATCTGCAGGGAGTTCATTTCTCACTAAGCCGATTAATAAATAAAGGATAAAACTCAGGGGGCGCCTGGGTGGCTCAGTGGGTTAAGCCTCTGCCTTCGGCTCAGGTCATGATCTCAGGGTCCTGGAATCGAGCCCCACGTGGGGCTCTCTGCTCAGCGGGGAGCCTGCTTCCCCCCACCATGCCTGCCTCTCTGCTTGTGATCTATTTGTCAAATAAATAAATAAAATCTTAAAACAAAACAAAACAAAAAGAACAAATTCACATTCCATATTTACCTGTAGCAACCCTTCTGTGAAGTTCCTGGGAGCTCCACCAAGGACATGACACAAACCAGATCAACAGACTCAAAACAAAAGGTCTTCCCTGTCTTCTAACTGCTCAGTAAAACTAGGAAACCTCCCAGGCTCAGACACCTATATTAGCAACAGGAAACCCAGACGTGACGGAGGAAGAGGGAGCGCCAGAGGTCCCAAGCGCCTGAGGCTAAAAAACGACGGGGAGGCAAGGACACAAGGACACATGAAGGGAGGCTCTCACTAAGAGGCTGGGCCTGGTCCTGTGGGCAGGACCCACAACCCAGCAGCAGGGCCCCTTCCCGGCAGGACGAAGGGGTCCGGCTCCGCTGCCTCTTCCTTCCACCCTCTGAAGCCACCGCCGGGAAGCGCGCCCGCAGACCTCGACAGGACAGCCCGGCACGGCAGTCATTTGTTCTCATTTCACTTGGATCAGAGAAATATTCTAGTTCAAACCCGAGGAACGGAAGAGCTACGGCATCCGGAAAACCCGAGCAGGCTCTGCAGTGTGCTGGGCCGGCGCCTGACCTCGAGCAGCTGGAGGCCGTGCCCCCACCTGGATTCCCGAGGGCGAGCCCGGCCCCCCCAGTACCTTCCTCAGGCCAAGCTTGGCGGCGATTTCATCCACCACGTCAGCTTTCGGGTCCTCCAGCAGCTCCAGGCTGTTGTGCGTGCCGATCTGTCAGGGCGGTAAAGGAAGAAGACTCAGAGGAGCCCAGAGCCAGGCCACCCCGACTCTGGCACGGCCCCGCCCCTTGCTAAAAAGGAGACTTGTGGCAGCAGAGAAAGGCTGACATCCAGATAAACGCAGCTGAGCCCTGCAAGCTCTGCCCCTCCCCAGGCTGCCCCGTGCTTCCCCATCGAGACTCAGAGGACGAGAAGACGGTGACACTCAGGCTGTCGCACATCACACAGTCTCTCGTCAAGTGTACGGTGGCCCTCAGGCCTGAGGAAGGCCGTTCACACAATTTTTTTGGTGGGTTCCTTCGCTGGGGAAAGTCAGTTTCAAAACACCTTCGGGTAAACAGTTTCCTTCCAAAGAGGTTCGGGTACGTGAGGCAAGAGTCCAGGGGCGAAGTGACCCCTGTCTCCGGGAAACAGGCTATCGGAGCGCGTGCGGCTCCTGCGGGGAGAGCGCCGGGCTTCCCAGGGGAGGCACTGAGTGGGGGAGGGCAGAGGAACGGAAAAGGCCCCTGCGGTCAGCCTCCTGCAGGCGGTGGGGGGCAGAGCACGGTGCTCGGGGCGGCAGGTGGGCTTGGACTCTGGCTCGTCTGCGGCCTACACCGGCCCCAGGGCCCTGACTCCCCGCAGCGGACGGAGTGGGCTGGAGTCCTTCACCTGCCCCGAAACGCAGCTCGAGGGTCACTGACAGAACCCCCCTGGCAGAAACCCCGGCCGCAGGGACAGGAAGACGAAGGGAATCCCAAACCAAGCTATCCTAATTGGGTATATCCTCACAAATGAGTCAAATTCTGGCAAAACAACCTGAGAACTTTCTGCTGCGGGGTGGTGGCGCGACGCAGATGGGCAGCGCTCGGGTGGCATCGCGCACGGGGGACCAGTCTCAGGGTCTGCTTTCAGGACCGGCAGCGCAGGAGCCTCGACTCCGAATGACCTGCGGGTTCCTGAGGTCAGTGGTTGCAACCTTCAGGAGTCCCGTGTCAGGCGCTCCGGTGATGCTGTCTGCGGTCTGGACGCCGGAGGTTCCTGCCTCTGTGTTTCATTCGATCCTCCTCCTGACACGACCGCTGAAGCCCCTCATGAAAGACCCCCTCTCCAAAACTGAATCCGAACACACTGCGCGGGGTCCAAGAGCCGCCCCCGGGTACGGAGCGGACCCGGCACCCCGGCAGTTAGGCGACCCCAGCTCACGGGGTCTCCATCAACACCTGGTGTCTCCGTTTAAATGAACCACACAGGAGGCCCCCGCCCCGCAGACACCTCCTCCGCAGCTCTCGGGCAATACGGAAACTGGCAGAGGGCCACACGCTGCGCTCAGAGTCCGCACGAAGGCGGCCAGAGACCGCGGCATGCGTGAGAGCCACGGGCCGGCAGACCCTGGCTTTCCTAAGAAGGCGGCTGCCAGGGGCTGAGTCGCCACGGGCAGTGGGCAGGACACACAGCCAAAGCAAGAAGGGGAGTGGTGTGACTACCTGTGCGTTTGCTTACACTTTGAAAGCTCAAACTTTTGACGTCTACCCAAACATTCCGGAAAGAGGGAGAGGAGAAAGGAGGCACCTTATTCGTAGATCTGACTTTGGAAGCATGCCAATTCTTTTTTCTTTTCCAACATTTTAACTACAAATTTCAAACACAGCAAAGTTTAAAGAATTTCACGGTGAGGACCCACATACCTGCTACCCAGTTTCAGCCACAAACACTGACTGCTCAACTCTCTCTGCCCCTCCCATCACCTCACGCCCTCTTGGTTCTCTGTTGTCTGTCACAGTGAACTGCACACCCGAGCACCCCTCCCGGGTACGTCACCACCACATCACAGACCAGAAATCGGTGCTTATGGGGATACCCGGGGGGGCTCAGTCATTAAGCGCCTGCCTTCGGCTCAGGTCATGATCCCAGGGTGCTGGAATCGAGCCCCGCAGCCGGCTCCCTGCTCAGCGGGGAGCCTGCTTCTCCCTCTCCCTCTGCTGCTCCCCCTGCTTGTGTTCCCTCCCTTGCTGTCAAATAAATAAAATCTTAAAAAAAGAAAAAGAATTCAATGCTCATGGTTTCCACTCTTGTAATGAAAATATATAGGTATACATGTGAGATATACACACATATACAAATCATACTGTATAAATATTTCATAGAATCATACAACAAAAATCCATATAGAAAATCAAACCTGGGAGCACCTGGGTGGCTCAGGGGGTTAAACCTCTGCCTTCAGCTCAGGTCATGATCCCAGGGTCCTGGGATTGAGCCCCACGTCGGGCTCTCTGCTCAGCGGGGAGCTGCTTCCCCCGCTCTCTTTCTGCCTGCCTCTCTGCCTACTTGTCATCTCTGTCAAGTAAATAAATTAAATATTTTTAAAAAAAAAGAAAAGAAAAGAAAATCAAGCCTGGGACACGTGAGGGCTCAGTCAGCTAGGGAGTCTGCCTCCGGCTCAGGTTATGATCCCAGGCTCCTGGGTCCGAGTCTGTGCGGGGACTCCTTGCTCAGTGGAGAGGCTGCTTCTCCCCTGCCTGCAACTCCCCCTGCTTGTGCACGCGATCTCTCTCCCTCTGTATCAAGTAAATAAATAAAATCTTAAAAAAAAAAATCCTTAAATGCCGAAAATGAAATATAAACATGTTACCTAAGTAGTAGCACAGTCCTCAGAAGAGCACCTTCCCAGTGACTCTCACAGTATGGCTGCTGGTCACTCATCAGACACAGCCCAAGGATCCTCCTCCTTACTGGTGGCCATTCTAAGACGGTTGTGTGTGTGGCACGGGGTAAAGGACACGAGCGACCCTGTGACCCTCTGGCTTCATTATTTCTGGGCCGGCTGACCACAGATGTGGGTGAAGGAGACAGACTACAAGGGAGGGTGCCGTCCCTGTGGCACTCTGGGCAGCTGACAGCACTGAGATACTCAGACTGAGATACTCCACCAGTGTTCAATTTACTGGCACTGACGGGGTCCTTGCTGGCAGGTAAGGCAGCGTCCTCCTGCTCTGGAGATGCGAACGGAAATGCGCAGGGGCCGTGAGCTTACCCTCCAAGAATGTGCGTGTGCGCCCGTGTGGACAGAGACAGACAGACACGGCAAATGACAGAGCAGAGGAAGTGAAGCAAAGTCTGAAAGCAGAGGCCCACACGGCCTTCAGCGCTGGCAACACAAAGGCCCGTGACCCGTGAGGCCGGCGCTCGCCTACCTGCGGAGGCTCGTAGATGGCGGCTACCTCGGCCCGGATGCCGAGAGGGATGTCCTTGTGCTCGGTGTACCGCCCGTACAGGAACCCGACATGCTGGCTCCCTGTCTTCCTCCAGAAGTCAAGGAAGCGATCGGCAACCGTGTGGTTCTCAAACATGATATTGTCCACGTGTCTGTATTTCTGTAGAGCAAGCAACGGCTGGTGAATTTGCTCTGTTGGAAATAACGCGCTTCTCTAGTATAAGCCACTCGTTAGTCTCCACCTAGCTCTTCGCACACTCACACACTCATTTTAAAATGTGTTCTGCCCTTAAGACCGTGTCAGATTCTGGGGGCGAGTGGCGGTGGGATTCCTCAATACATTAATTCAAATTAATCTTATAGGACTTCACATAAAATGCAGGTTTTCACAATCTGTGGCACAAAAATTAGATCTCAAAAAGAAAGAGCAGGGAAGAGAAGAGAACGGGAGCAGTTCCCAAGCAGTCCCAAGGGGGCGGAGAGCGGCCTACAGAGCCAGCGCGGGCCGGCGGGCCAGAGGAGGCGAGCGGAGGGACCCTCAAGGGCACAGAGGGCAGAGGGGAAGAGGCCAGAGTACTGCACGCGCCTTCCCCTGGTCTCCGCCTCCTTGCAGAGCCCAGCTTCCTTCTCTACCTGGCCTGGACAGGTGCTCCGAGGGGCTCCAGGTCACTGTGGCTGCCAGCTTCCAGGGCCACTTAGAAGGAGAAGTGCAACCCCGGAGCATTTTAAACAGTCACCAAGAAAGTCCTGCCTCCACAGAACCAACAAAAGTGAAAACAAAAGACCCCCCCCTCCACACGGGCAACACCTAGTGATCTCAGCAGCAGCGTCTCCAGCACACGACCTGGAAACACACTCGGACGCACCCACCCAGGGCACTCGGCCAGCGGCGGCGCCCTCCAAGGAGGGCCTTGTCTGCAGATGTTCATTTCTGAGCCATGAGCCAAGTCTACGGCTCCCCGCGGTCTGGATGGCCACAGCGAACGTCTCACCTGTCTGTTCAGTGTGATGGCACTCGGCTGGCACTTGGTGCAGATGCCATTAGGCCATGGAAGGTGACCCTCGCACCCTGATTTAATCTTGCAACTGATGTTCTCCAGGGCGACAAATTTCCCCCTGAATAAGAAGAGGCAGGTTAATTAATTCAACATTCCAACAGTGAAAACTTCAGCAGGAGACTGGAAATCGCATGTGAAACGTCTTCTACCTCCAGAACAGAGCTCTGAGAAGCTAAGCGCGCGGCAGACAGCGGCGGGGGGACGTGCTGAGAACTGCTGTCACGGAGTCCCAGCTTCTGTCCTGCACGCGGAGACTGTGCAGAGATACCCAACTGCTTCCCTATAAGAAGTCTCCATTTTCGATGTCTGTCGCTAACACCCATGAAAATTTTCAAGGATACTATTAAACGCTATGAATCTCACCTGAGCCACTGACAGGAAACAAAATCTTGTTAAGTTTCATTAACTTATCAGCAACACCTGCATCGCGAGTCCAGTACTTACCTGTCTGCAAAAAAACTCTGAATCAAGGGAGAAAGCCTGAGGAGGTCACCGCACAAAGGCATCTTTCCCGGCTTCTGGCTGAAATTCAGTCCGTCAGCAAGGAAGCCGGGGGCCACCAATGTGGAGTGGGTGGGTACAGGCGCCTTCACCTTCTGCCAGTTTCCCACTCAAACGACAGTCCAGGAACTCGATCCTGTCTTCACAGGCCAACAGCACGCTGGCCTGCGGGCCCCTGGCAAGCAGTGACGGCCACCAGCCCACATGGGACCAAGAGCTGCCCATGTGGCCCCGTGGGCTACTGCAGCTAGACCCAGGCTGGTGGAAGGCTGACGGGTTTCAGCACAACGAATCTCTACTCGTTCCCTAGTCCAGAAAGCTCCATGGTGTACCCCACTGACAGGCAAGAATGGGTTTCTGGTAGGATTTTTTTCTCATGGTCTAATTTTAAAAAAGCCGTTTCGGGATGTCAGCAGGTTGTCAGAGAAAAACTATAATCAGGCCAACATGACATTCTGCACAAATGCTGCGGACGCGGGTTCAGCCGCCACCTCCCGGGTGCACTGACGGGAATCCTAAAACCGTGGAATGAAGTCCACTGCTTTCTGGGCAGGTGGACATGCAGTCATACAGGCAACAGAAAGGGGTCACGCAGGGAAGTACCTGACGTGGGTTCAAAGAAATGAAATGCTCGCAGTCACCCCCTCCAGACACTGTCGCAACTCGCACGCGGGGAGCCGAGAGACGGCTGCCCCACTGGCCGCTGGGCCAGGCCTGCGACCGTCCGGCTGGGGCACCCGAGCCCCCCGCGTGGGTGGTGCCGCGGCTTCAGGCCCCACGCAGGGTGTGGCTGGCTGTGAAACCACCCGATAAAGAGGCAGGCTCCAGGGCAAACGGCTCAAGGGGGCTGTGGGACAGGTGGGCGGAGCTAACCGCGGGCACGAGCTCTGACCACCATCCCACCTGACCTCCCCCGCCACACACAGCTAAGCTGCCAGAGCACCACATCGCTGCGGGAAGGCCGGGAATGCTCCCCGGGGCCTCCACAGCGGCCGCTGCCAGCCTGGCACCGCCCAATGCCCTGGGCATGTGGATGACAAAAGGGCGTCAGTCTCCACCCCTTTCTTCTCTAGAATCGGGGCCAAAGTCATGAACTCAAATGCTCTGTGCCCAGACCCCGACCTTTGCTCTTCTCATTCCCGAGCCCACAGGCTTTAAGCAACACCTTCCAGACACACAAGAGGACTTGGGTACGCCAGAGCCACTCGGCACAGCCCGACGGCACTCCCTTGCTTACTTGTCGGCCCCCCCGGTCAGCTTGCGGATGTAGGCGTGGAAGGACATGTGCTTCACAGGAGGTTCGAGATGGTTCAGGTAGTCCTCGTCAAACGGCTGTCAAAACACACACAGAACGGTCACGCACCGGCCGGCGCCTCGAGGCTCGGAGAGGCGGGCAGCCACGCTTCTGCCGCACACGGGCAGAGACCAAGCCAGGACCCGTGAGGGCAAGGAGGGAGGGCGGGCGCTCGGTTCTCACGCATCATTCTAGGTCGGAACCGAAGGCTTCTTTGGGCAACACTTATCTTCCCAGGATTAAAATGAATCTCTATTAGACACAACATGCTCTAGGTCAAATAAACACTAGGAACATTCTGGGGGGGGGGGGAGCAGCCTGTAAGACGAAGAGGAGGCTCATGAAGAACATCGGGTCGGCCGCGCTGCCGTGAACCCCGCACCGACCCGGGACCCGTCAGCGTCATTACGGTAACTGTCCGTCTCACCACGACCCGTCAGGAGGAGGACGTGACTCGGGGAAAGTAAATCAGAGCAATGACGAGCACAGAAACCGGCAGCCCCAGCTCTGTGTCAGGTTTACAGGGACTGCAAGCGCTGCCCTCCGTCATGGCAAAACCAACGCTTCAGCCGATCGGCACCCACCCGGAAGGTCACTCCCATAAACAAAGGCCCGTCCTCTTCAAGCAGCTTTGCACCAGTGGGCACGCGAGGCCCAGGGCGACAAACAAGGAGGTTCTTTTCCCCACTCCCGACCCGGCGCACGGGTGCAGGGCACGTGCCTTCGTGCCCTGGGGAGCAGCCCCTCGCGCCCGCCCAGAACTTACGCTGCACGGACTCTCACCTCTAGCGGAACACAGTGCACGCATTTCCCCAAGGGGCCGTGTCGGCACCTGAGAGCACAGGGCAAGAGAAACACAGCAATTAGCGCGCCCGCTCTCCCGCCGCCGCCCGGCGCTCCGGCACAGAGCACGTACGCCGCACTCGAGTACTGCCCTGCCTGTGTGGGGCCACTGCACCCATTTTTAAGTAAACTCAACGCCCAACATGGGGCTTGACCTCACAAGCCCAAATCAGGAGTCCATGCTCTGTGACAGCCTGCCAGGTGCCCCGTGTGGAATTATTTTCGATGGTATGTGAGCATTTTTTATTTTAATATTGTTTAATATCTGGGGCACCTGGGTGGCTCAGTGGGTTAAGGCTCTGCCTTCCGCTCAGGTCATGATCTCAGGGTCCTGGGATCCAGCCCCGCATCCGGCTCTCTGCCCAGCAGGGAGTCTGCTTCCGCCCCCCTCCCCCCTGCCTCTCTGCCTGTGATCTGTCAAATAAATAAATAAAATCTTAAAAAATATATACATATAGTTTATTAACGATTTTGACTTGCATGAGAAAACCGCCCAGCACGTCACACCTGTGGTGCTACAGACAGCAGCCGCGTCACTTGACACTGAATAAAGGGAGAAGCGAATGGACTTAAAAACGGGTTTGAATGCATGTTAAGTCAACACTAAGGAGGTTGGGATGCGGACACGGCAAAAAACCTGCCGGTGGGACAGAAGTAACTCCAGTTGGGAAAACACCCACTTTGCGCACATTTGGGGAAAAGCATGAAGGTGGCAGGCTCTACGGGTCACCAAGACTGGTGACTTCAGAAGAGAAGCCGCAGGGGTGCCACACGTACGAGGGGGCAGCACGACGTGCTCTGATGAGGGCGGTGACCCTGGTGGGAAAGCCGAGCGGCCGTCCCTCTGGGCTGGACAGGACCCTTTTCTAAATGGGGTCACAGTGCTCGGACACGTGTGCGTCCGACACTCAGAGTCTCCGAACAGCCAGGCTCTCACTGACGGCGGCCGGAACGTGCACACGCGTGCACACCTTGAAATATTCCTAACAAAGCCTCAAAGACACCGATCGCGGGGGGCCGGGGGGGCGCCAGCCACAGCACAGCGCCATCTGGGGCTCTTTAAACTAAGACGTACAAGTTGCTAGCGCAGCACTCAGAACCCCGATCTCTCAGTGTCAGCGCCCCGCTGGGTTTATGGAGCGATGTGGCTACGAGGCCCTACCGCAGACACAAACCACCTCCACTCAGGCATTTCACGTCACTGAGTGTAAACTCTGGAGTTTCCAACCAGTTTCTTCAAGAAGAATCGCAGGCGCGCCGGGGTGCCTCAGTCGGTGAAGCATCTGACTCTCGATTTCAGCTCAGCGCATGACCTCAGGTCACGGGATCAAGCCCTGCACCCCACTCCACGGTCAGTGGGGGGTCTGCTCCAGATTCTCTCTCCCTCTGCCCCTCCCCTCAACATGTACCGTGTGTGCCCTCTAAGACAAAGAAATCTTTAAAAAATTTAAAATTTTGGGGGCGCCTGGGTGGCTCAGTGGGTTAAAGCCTCTGCCTTCATCTCAGGTCCTGATCCCAGGGTCCTGGGATCGAGCCCCACATCGGGCTCTCTGCTCAGCGGGGAGCCTGCTTCCTCCTCTCTCTCTGCCTGCCTCTCTGCCTCCTTGTGATCTCTCTCTGTCAAATAAATAAATAAAATCTTTAAAACAAACAAACAAAAAAATAAATAATTTAACATTTTTAAAAAGATTTTTCTTATTTTTTAGAGAGACAGAGTACAAGTAGGGGAGTGGCAGAGAGAGGGAGAAGCAGGCTTCCTGCAGAGCAGGAAGCCCGACGTGGGGCTCGATCCCAGGACTCTGGGATCATGACCTGACCCAAAGGCAGATGTTTAACCAACTGAGCCCCCCAGGTGTCCCTAAAACTTTTTTAAAAAATAAAGAGAACAACAAAAGACCACCACCAGTACATAAACGGAGCTGAGCATAACCGTTCCACAAAGTCTAGGCGGAGGGTAAACACTCAAGGAGGACCAGCATGTTGTGCACGAAGCGTCCACTGGAAAGAATGGGAAGGAGGCGCTGTGTGCACGACGCTGACGTTTCCCGACTGTATCCAGCACGACGGCCCGAGCTATACCCTGCGCTGGTCGGTGCCCAGCGTCCCCCCGCTTCCCTGCTTCCCTACTCCCGGGCCCGCACACGCGCTGAGGCCCAGCACGCTGCGCGGTGGGGGGTGCATCAGGACTGCAGCGAGGGCAAGGTCTGGTTTCAGTTCCCTTCTTTCAAATCTTAGCTCCGAACACCTGAGAGCTTCGGAAAGGACGCGTGGCACAAACACGGAGCTTCATGCAACAAGAAAAGGCTTGAAAAATAACATGAAGTGAAATTTTATCTGAAAGGAGGTGATCAAACTGAGAACTTGTGCTCCTTCAGCAGATACGGCGCGCTACACACATCTCACCTCCTGAGCCTCTAAGGCAGCACAGCTGGGACGGGGCCCCACAGACACTTACAGCTGCGGGTCGCGGCTTCTGTAAATCTTCCCGTCCTGCTTGCTGAGGTACTGGTCGATCTCGTCCTCCACCACGCTGGGAGCACCGCAGGCCTTCAGCCCCAGCGGGGCCGACGTCTCCATCTCCGAGGAGGGCCCAGCGAGGCCGGAGGGAAACAGGAACAGCAGGTCTCCGTGCCTGCCAGACGACAAACACAGGGCAGAGCCTTCTATCCTCCACAGCCTGGGCTGCACGGAAGGGCTGCTCACCCTCACGGGAGGGCCTCTGACAGCTGAGACGCAAACGCCAACGTCTCGGGTGAGACCTCGAATTGTAAAAGGCCAGAATTCTCCCTTTGCATCTCTCCTACGCTCCCGAATGTTCTAAAGGTCAAAGCAGGTTCTCTGCACCTGTGACACACTGTCCTCGGCGACTGTCAACCACCCGTGTGCCCACTGCACTCCGCACGGATGAAGTGGAGCCACAACAAACACACTCGACCTGGGAGCGGCCTTCTTCCTGCTCCTCATTCCGGGACTTGCTCCCGCTTCATGCTCACCCCTTACCGTCACCATTCAAGGCCCTGACGCGCGCTCTACCTGGTACACAGCCTCCGCCTCTCCCCTGCGCTCACATGCACCCCCACACGAGTACGCAGACGTCGTGTGACACTGCTTGACAAGCATGAGACTGTCGTAGACACAGAGTTTGCACCTGCTTTTCTCTTTCAACAATGCCTCGCTCCGATCCCCCCCAACACGGGGTCTGGGTCTCATCACTGCTTCTGATGGTGGCACCACGCTGCCAACAAGCCCGACTCGTCACTCACACCCGCGTTCCCACGCTGACGGCCACGCGTGCTACCCACGGGCTTCTGCCACCAAGCACGGCACTCAAGGAAAGGCCCGAGGACAGGCGGCTGTGGGTTTTCCTTCTACAGGGCGCATTTCCAGGAGTGGCCCTGCTAGGCGGAAGGTTTTGTTTGTGATGTCGCCAATGTGCTGCTTCCCAAACAGGCTGCACGATGCACAGTTCGAGCAGCAGCGCTGGATTTTCTACCATTTCCAGGAAGTCACGCTCTCTCCTGCTCACTCACACGGCTGACTCACTGCAGGGCCCGCTTCGCGCACCCAGACCAACGAGACCCAAAGGCGTGAGATGCTCCCACCTCCATGCGCTGGACAGAAGCGACGTGGGCTCCGCGCCTGGGGAGAGGGTCTACAACACCAAATTCAACCTCAGGCCGGAGGAGAAGCTGCAGCACCGCCACGCGTTAGCACTTACTGCCGCCAGCGAGACACGCACGGAGGGGCCTGCTGCGGCCCTGGCCCAACCGACCGAAGGCGGCAGGCAGCGGGCCTGGAGAGCGAACACCATGGACACGGGACACGGAGAGGCGTGGCTGTAGCTCTTCACTAGGCCTGTTCTCTCCTCGTTTTCCTTCCGTAATTTAGGAAGATAAAACTGCCAGACTGTACCTCCTGTTTCTCACCAGGGACCAGACATTCCTGAACACCCTCCAGCTACACAATACTCGGCTCGGGGGCTGCACCAGGTCGAGCGGATGTGCTCTAACAGGCACCGCGAAGCTCTAACGAAGGAAGGAGCGCCCCACGGGCCCACACAACTCAGAGGAGCGCCCACAAGAAGGGCCAGAGAACAATGCCCTACAGGAGCCCTGAGCTTGGCTTCCACGGTCCTCCTCCGGGCGACAGGCGGTGAGGCCGTGAGCCTGCCTAAGCTGAAGCAGCCGCTGAGCCTGAAACACCACGTGAAGCCAGTCTCAGACGCTGGGAAGAACCACCAGCCGAAAACAGGAACCGAGGAGGAGTCCTGTCCTCCTGCCCCCACTCTGCAGTAGAGAGAACAGCCACCTCGGAGAGTCTGCGACCACAGGCCGGCTCTGCCGGCCTCCAGGCTAGAATCAGGGATGCTACTCGGCTCCAGAAGCCCAAAGACAAAAATTAACTGGAGGGAGTGGCAGGTCCACAGAGTCCCTCGGGCCAACAGAAGCAAGCGCAAGCTTCCCCGGCAGAAAACCCTCTGGCCTGCCAGGGCCTCCCCACCACCAGGTCTGGTCAATTACAAGCTCTCAAATGCACAAGAGAAGCCAGACACCACGCTCAAGAGAGGGCACACGCCACAGGAACAGAACTGGACAGCCCGGGATTCCAGATTTGGAGCTGCAAGACACGGAATATCAACGTCTACAGCATGTTCAATGGAAACGGGCTGGAAAAAGCACAAGAAGCGAGAGGCCGCCTGAAAGGACAGGGACCTCTGGGAAGCAGCATGGCAGGGGCCACAGATTTGGGTAAATCTTCCTGAATCCCCCTCATACGATCAGGCCAGACAATCCACAGACAGCTCTGATGCCACCCTGGGGAGAATGACCACCTCAGACACCCTGAGGTGTGTGACGGGCCAAGGCAGAGCCCCAAGGAGCCCAGTGGTCCTCAATGGAAGCCCGGAGGGCCAGTATGACAGCAACACAGCCCCCATGAACACACGGAGCTAACGGCTGGGTTTGAAAAGAAATCAAGTCAGATATTTTAAAACTGAAAAATATAATCCCTGAAACAACAACAGACCTGGAGAGAAGTGATATTTAAAGAGATAATGGCCACAAATTTTCCGGACCTGATCTGCAGGAACAGAAAATACCATATCCATCATGTAGGATTAAACAAACCAGGAACACACACCTGGAAAAGTCAGAAAGAAGCTGTAAGTCCCCAAAAGAAACAGAAAATCTTAAAAGCAGCCAGAGGGGAAAAAGATCACTTACGAGCCGCAACCGGAGAAGCCGGAAGTGGACAGAAATCAAGCCCGAGCTTGAAGAGAGGAACATCGCTCTCTGCTTCAGACACGTGCTCTCAAGTGCAGACCCAAGCTGGTCAAGAAGTATGACGACGAGCACTGGAAAGGTGCGCTCAAGGGTGTACCTCGGATGGCTGAGCCGTCCTGCCCCTCTGCGGTCCCACCCCTCCAGGTCGGCACTGGCACGATGCGAACGCTGCACGGCGTTCTCGCAGAGTTGTCTGTGGCCGCCTCTGCTTGTGCACGCGATCGCTCTAGTCCGCAAGCTCGCACGTGCAGGCACCCAGCAACCACACCCAGGCGGCACTGCCACCCGCCTGCAGACGTGGCTGGCGAGCCCCAGTGAGGGTCAGCAACTCGTGCAGGCACGCCGCGCCGAGTGCTCAGCTACGACCGTGAGCCACGTAACATTTGGGAGAAATAACTCTCAAGATACAAAAGCTCTGGGGACACCTGGGTGGCTCAGTGGGTTAAAGCCTCTGCCTTCGGCTCAGGTCATGATCCCAGGGTCCTGGGATCGAGTCCCACATCGGGCTCTCTGCTCAGCGGGGAGCCTGCTTCCTCCTCTCTCTCTGCCTGCCTCTCTGCCTGCTTGTGATCTCTGTTAAATAAAATCTTAAAAAAAAAAAAAAAAGATACAAAAGCTCTTTACAAGGAAAGGACGGATATACCTCAGCCACATGGAAAGCAGACGACATGGACGACAACAAAAAGCTTTGGCTAATTACAGAGACAGGCAAGGTACCCAACAAGTATTTGCTGAGAAGCAAATGAATAAACGCTAACACTGCATATTTTTTCCTGTATGTACTAATCTGTGAACCTAAAAATGATCACAGCGATGGTCAAGACAGGTCAACAGGCACAAGGCCAGCCGCCAGCAAGCGCAGCCCAATCAGCCCACAGCGGCCACAGCAGCCACGCTGCCTCAGCCCCGACAGGAGTGCTCCCGGCTCGCTACTGGGGCCCGGAATCATGGATGCACAAGCAGCTGTGCCCAGACAGGTCAGACGGGAGTCAGGAAGCTTCTTCTGTAAAGAGCCCAGCAGTAAACTTTCCCGGCTCTGCAGGCCATGCCGTCTGGGCCACAATCGCTCGGCCCCACGCTGGAGGCAGGAGCGCGCATCTGAGCAACGCGGCCGCACACCAGCGAGACTACGAGAGCGGGCAGTGGCTGCGGGCAGACGGCTTGACCTCCTGGAAACGCCACTAGGGTGACCGACTGCCTCGGAGGAGCTCGGGGGGCCCCGCCACCAAGAAACGTCGTGTGGGCACCGGCCCCTCCCGGCCAGCCAGCAGTCCCAGGGTAGAACCGCACGCAGCTCCGTTCAAGGTCCCCCCGCAGAGGAGGAGTGGAGTGTGCAGCAGCGGCGCGCGCCCGCCCCTGGAACCCGGAACCCTCTCCTCTCAGGGACACACGTCCAAGCTGCAAGTGCATGGGCTGGCACGAAAGGAGCCGCAGGTTCAGCATGACAGCAGACGATCCCCCAAGAAACATGGTGGCATCGAGGGGAAGCCAGGCAGAGCCGAGCAGCCGCGGTGGGCCCTGCGGTCGTCCCCTCCCACCCCGTCGTCCCCTCACAGCACTTACTGGATTTTGAGCAGACTGAGGGATTTGGTCGACGAGGCTGTTATCTCTCCAGTCTTGTTTCTATTGATGTAAACTGAGAAGCCGTTATTTTGGAAACCAAACTCCTTTGCGACCTAAAACAAAGCCCCAAAAAACACATGTTGAAACAAATATTTGAGTATCACTACTCTGGCCACACATGCACCAGATGATACTAGAACAAGGCTCACTAAATTTAGACCTGGTCCTCGGGAACCAAATTCCTCTTGTGATTTTGGTCTCTTGTGAGGAAATTCGTACTGCCCACACGGATGTCAAGTAAAATGAGAAAAGTGGCCAAACAGAAGCAAAGCTCTGTGAAAATGAGAAGGCTACAGGACACATGTAAGAGTCTGAGGCAAGCAAAAGTCACGGCTGCACCCGGCAAGTTTAACTTCTACTTTTGAAATCAATTGTAAAAACCCAGTTCCAGGGGTGCCTTCGGGGCTCAGTCAGTGAAGCGTCTGCCTTCGGCTCAGGTCATGATCTCTGGGTCCTGGGATCGAGTCCTGTGGTGGGCTCCCTGCTCAACGGGGAGCCTGCTTCTCCCTCTACCCATTCTCCTGCCCATGTTCTCTCTTTCAAATAAATAAATCTAAAAAAAAAAAAAGGAAAAAAGAAAAAAAATTCCAATTTTGAAACCTAAAAGAAGAAAAACAGAGGTGAAGAATGGCGCCTCCCAGTCAGTGCTGACCATGAGCTCCCACACCAGGCCTCGCGCCAGGGGCTGCGAACACTCGCTCCCTGACTTCCCAAACAGGAAGCAGTCCCAAGGGCCAGCTCCATTCTGGATGCTCAGAACACAACAATGAATGAATACAGACCAGATTCCTGCCATCGAGGACCTCGGCATCAAAGCGGGGAGAAAGCTAAGAGATGAGAACCACGGGTGCGGACTAGCCGCAGGTAAGAAAGGAAGAAAGGGCAGCAGAGGGGAGGCCACCCCAGGCAGCAGGACAGAGAAGGCCTCTGAGGAACACGTCTGAGCAGAACCCCAGGGGAAGGGACTACGGCTGTACTCACAGAGCTGAGAAGGAACAGTGCGGGCAAGAGGAGAAGCACGAGGGCTGAGAGGTGGGGAAGAGAGGCCAGTCGGGCCAGAGCCCGGCAGGCAAGAACGAAGCGGTAAGAGACGAGCATGGCAAGGTAGATGGGACCACGTGGGCTTGGAGGAGTCTGTACTCCAGCTCAGGAGCCGTGGAAGCCGCAGGAGCTGAGAGCAGGGGTGGCCAAGCCGTGAGGCTTACTTCTCAGGGATACTCTGCTGGAGGTGGGAAGAGGAACAGGAGAGCCGGCTGCCCGGGCCAGGGAGCCGGGCTCAGTCAAGGCCAGGACAACGGAGATGGAGGGAGAAGCACACCTTCCACCTATCACAATCAACAGCCCGTGCTCATGTGGGAATGGGGCAGAACGGAGTGAGGAAAAGGAAGGGCGTCAGCGCGGTGTTCAGACTTCTGGCTTGAGAACTGGGGGGACGGGAGGAAGACCACACCGGCAAGGAGGCACGGAGAGGGTGAAGGAGAAGGAAGACTGAAGGAAAAGACAGGTCTTCCCTTTAACGCCGAGACTGAGGGGGTGCCCGGCAAGGCATCAGCAGCCCGTCAGCACTGGAGTCTGGGGCCAGGAGAGCAGTCCAAGTTGTACCTCAACGCTCAGGGCTCAACAGAGCAGAGGCAACGCGCGAAGAGACCAGGAGTCTCAGCAGAGAATCAAATAATCAAGTGGAATGAAATGGAAGATGTAGAACAGAAAACAGCAACTGAAACGGGAAACGCTGGACGGGCCGGTCAGCAGACGGGAGACGCAGCAGGAGGAGGCCATCAGCCTGCAGACAAACTTCAAGAATCTGCACAGTCTGAAGACGGAGATTTTAAATAAAAATGACGAGAACCTTATGAACTCCTAGGACGACATCAAACGATCCTAAGGACAATAAAATAAGGAAAGGACTGAAAAGTATTTGAAGAACGAATGGCTGAAAACCTCGAAGGTGATGACAAGCAGAGTAACAAATCCAGAAAGTTCAGCAACCCCCGAGCAGGGCCCATAAAAAACGGTCGCTCAGTGCCTGCGTCAGGGTCATACCGTTGACAGCCGGAGATCAATGGAGACCAGAGGACAATAGAATGACACCTTCAAAGTGCTGAGAGGGAATAAAAATCTGTCAGCTCAGATTTCTGTATCTGGCAAAAACACCCTCTGCATACGAAAGCGAAATGAAAATGCTGTCGGGCCAGCAAAACCTGAGGGCATGTCAGCAGCAGGCCCCCTCGCTAGGAACTCCGGGCTGAAGAGTGGGACACCAGATCGGGTCAGACCCAGAGAAAATACCGGAAGGACACGTAAGACAGAGACTAGGACGAGAGCTCTCGACTACACAATCTGAAACCATCACATTGAATGTCCTGTGATTGGTTTTCAAAAGAGAACCGCAGTCAACTACGTTTGAATAATTAATAGAGAAACAAATTAAGGGGGGCTGCCACGAGAATTTTGACGGAGACAGTGCAGGTCAGGGACGAGACCAGAGAGGAGCTCTGCGTATTTCCCCGAGTCAGCGAAATACCATTTCTGCCTAGTCCGACCTGCTCCTTTTCAGCCAATTTCTCCTTTGACATGGAATTATTGGTAAAACCTACTACTTACTCACTATGAGAAAAAAGACTTCATTCAACGATTAGCTTTACATACTAACCTCATTTCCTACAGATTTTAAATACATGAATTACAAGTAACTCCATCTTGTCATTCTGAAATTCTCAAAGTGATAATAAGAAATGGTCCTTAAGGGGCACCTGGCGGGGAGGGGTCAGTCATTAGGCATCTGCCTTTGGCTCAGGTCATGATCGTGGAGTCCTGGGATCGAGCCCCGCGTCTATCTCCCTCCTCAGCAGGAAGCCTGCTTCTCCCTCTCCCATTCCCCTGCCTGTGTTCCCTCCTGCTGTACCTCTCTGTGTCAAATAAATTTTTTTTTTAATCAAAAAAGGGGGGGGGCACCTGGGTGGATCGGTGGGTTAAGCCTCTGCCTTCGGCTCAGGTCATGGTCTCAGGGTCCTGGGATGGAGCCCCACATCAGGCTCTCTGCTCAGCAGGAAGCCTGCTTCCCCTTGCCCCCTGCCTGCCTCTTTGCCTGCTTGTGGTCTCTGTCAAATAAATAAATAAAATATTTAAAAAAAAAAAAAAAAAAAAAAAAGGGGCGCCTGGGGAGCCCCGGGGGGTAAACCCCTGGCCTTGGCTCAGGTCATGGTCTCAGGGTCCTGGGATCGAGCCCCACATCGGGCTCTCTGCTCAGTGGGGAGCCTGCTTCCCCCGCTTGCTCTCTCTCTCTCTCTGCCTGCCTCTCTGCCTGTCAAATAAATAAATAAAATTTTTAAAAATTAAAAAAAAATTTAAATTAAAAATTAAAAAAGAAAGCATCAGCAAATTAAGACAATGAAATTTATATTCCCAACTGCCATAAAAGTTAAGACAAAAGACTAAAAATAATGACTTTGACTCTTCTCTGCAAGAGCTTAGATATAAACTGAAATTAACTGTGGCAGCTGTTCCGCAAACCCATCCTGCTTCTCTGTACCCAACACCCTCCAAGCTATTTCCAAAATGAGAAAGCTTTCGCCACGAGTGTGAGCTTCCTGAAAGCTACCATGCTACTCCCAGGATGGAAAGGAGTTTCCAAAATGGGGCAGGGGCTGTTCTGGAGCCAGCCCTCTGTATAAAGTTAAGTCCCCTGGGACCGCATGACCAGCGTTTATACTCCCCATAAAGACGGAGATAGAGCTGTCTTTTTTTAAGATTTGTTTTTTTATCTTAGAGTGCACGCGAGGGCACGGCGGGGGGGCAGAGGGAGAGAGAACCTCCAGCAGATTCCACGCCGAACGCAGAGCTCAATGCTGGGCTCAGTCTCCCGACCAGGAGATGGTGACCTGAGCCAAAAGCAGAGTCAGCCACTTGACCCACTGCACCGCCCAGGCGCCTCCAAGTGCCTTTTCAACAACGACAGCAGCAGTAGTGCGACCCACGTGGAGCCCCACCTCTGAGACACAGAAACAGATGTATCGCCTGTTATGCTACTCCCATGAACATAACTGCTTCTGTGAACTTTTGAGTTTGTTTTTTTCTTCTTTTTAAATAATTTGTTCATTCGACAGAGAGAGACACAGTGAGAGAGGGAGAAGCAGGTTTCCCGCTGAGCAGGGAGCCCGACACAGGGCTCGATCCCAGGACCCCAGATCATGACCTGAGTGGAAGGAAGATGCTTAATGACTGAGCCCCACAGGCGCTCCTGAACTTTTGAGTCCTTTATCTAAAGATACAGAAATCTAACACAGGGGACCAACCACTTAAAAAAAAAAGTTTATCAGAGTCTCATAAAAGCATCGTTAAAATCTTAACAACGGGCGCTTGGGTGGCACAGTCAGCTGAGTGCCTGACTCTTGACGTCAGTTCAGGGCATGATCTCAGGGTCATGACCTTGAGCCCCGCAGAGTCTGTTTAAGACTCTCTCCCTCCGCGCCCCCACCCCCACCGCAGCACACTCTCTCGCTCTCTCTCAAATAAATAAATAGATCTTTAAAATCTTAAAGATGTTATATTCACACCTGAGGTGAACTGTGTGTAAAACTGATGCCAGAAAACCAGAAGCGCGTGCGGGGTAAAATTACCACGCTCATAACTGAAGGAGGCGAGAAGGAACGCACAGCAGGACCCACGTTTGTCAAATTCAAAAACAAGCAGAACTACAGTTTAGGATCTAGGAGCACACGCTGAAGTGGCACAACTTGGCAGGAAAGGGGGGAGCCGTCCCCATCAGCGCCGGAGGCGTCAGGGAGCGGCGAAGGCCACTAACCCTGAAGCACCGGCCACACCCCTCCTTCACCATCAGTCATTTGTCCGTATTTGCCAAGCGTTTCTCAGTATGTAGTTTACTTCATGGTTTAAAAAAAAAAAAGGGGGCGCCTGGGTGGCTCAGTGGGTTAGGCCGCTGCCTTCGGCTCGGGTCGTGATCCCAGGGTCCTGGGATCGAGTTCCGCATCAGGCTCTCTGCTCGGCAGGGAGCCTGCTTCCCTCTCTCTCTCTCTGCCTGCCTCTGTCTACTTGTGATCTCTGTCTGTCAAATAAATAAATAAAATCTTTAAAAAAAACAAAAAACAAAAAACAAAAAAAAAAAAAAAACAAAAAACAAGGAGAAAGGAGGTCACAGACGGCAGAGGTCAATTAGGACAGGCTAGAGCCATCCTCCAGCCCAAGCAGGGGAGGGACAGCAGCAGCCCGACAGCGACCCGAGGCAGGGGTGCTGCTGCTGAGCGAGACAGCCCGGAGGAGCCGTCCAGGGAGGCTCGCGGTCTGAGGAGCCGTGGCAGGAGCGGCGCTGGGCAGCCTCAAGACAACTAGCGACTCTCGGACCCTGTGAGGCAGCCTCGGCAGCCTCCACCGCCTCCCACCTGCGAACGGCAGCGCCCGGGGTGCTGAACGCCGCACAGGAAAGCAGGATCGAGGCGCTCACGGTGCAGAACAGCGAGCTGAGCCAGCCACGTCCGCAGCGGTCCGCAGCCTTGTCGGAGGGAATGGGGGCACCGCGAGCCCCGTGCGCACCCACAGCCAGTTACTAACTTCCGACGAAGAGCGCGACCCGGGTAGGAAGATACCGGAAGACACAAAACGGGATGGCAGAGACCACGGTCTGGGGCGGGGGAAAGGGGGGGCTGCTGTTTAACACACACAGTTTCAGATCCGCAAGATGAAAAAGTTCGGGCAATGGATGGTCGTAACGACTGCACGTGAATTACTTCACGCGACGGAACCGCGGGCGCAGAGACGGTTTAGGCCAAGGGCACCCGGCTGGCTCAGGTGGAGAAGCACGCAACTCTTGATCTCAGGGTCACGACTTCAAGCCTCACGGTGGGCACAGACATTACTTTAAAAATTGGTTTCTGGGCGCCTGGGTGGCTCAGTGGGTTAAGCAACTGCCTTCGGCTCAGGTCATGATCCCAGAGTCCTGGGATCAAGTCCCACATCAGGCTCACAGCTCCACGGAGAGCCTGTTTCTCCCTCCAACCTTCTCCCCTCTCATGCTCTCTCTCAAATAAATAAAATCTTTGAAAAAAAAAATTGGTTTCGATGATAAATTTTATGTTATACATTTTTTTTAAATTTTAAATAATCTCTACACCCAATGTGGGGCTCAAACACACCATCCCAAGACCAAGAGTCACACGCTCTACCGACTAAGCCAGCCTGGCACCCCTGTCATGTGTTCTTTCTTTCTTCTGGGAAAAAGAGCAAGTGAGCACGTGCACGGATGAGAGCGCGAGTGGGGTGGGGGTGGGGGGCGGCAGAGGGAAAGGCACAGATCTCAAGCTGACTCCACACCCTCTTGGACCCCAACTCAGGGCTCAAACTCACAAGCCTGAGATCACGAGCTGAGCCTGAGTCGCGAGCAGGATGCTTACCAGGTAAGATACCCAGGCTCCCCTGTTACGCGTTATTTTTAAAATGATACAAATCTCTATTTATTGACATAAAACCATTCCTTAATTTATCGTCAAGTAAAAAACACCAGGACCACAAATGATCCAAACACCCCTGGAAAAGCAGCACCTTGGGAAAAATACGTGCCCCAGTGCCCACCTGTGGGGCCGCAGGGCATACAGGTGACTGCCTGGGCTCCTGGAAACCTGTCATCCGCACAGCACAGCTGGACAACTGTCATCCCTCAACATTTCTGTCAAACAAGCCACTCAATGACCAGTCAGGAAAAAATGGAGGATTTAGGGCTGTTATGCCCTGCCAGTAACCCAGAGAGAAACCCAGAACAGGCATCCGCAGCTGGCACCGAGCCTCCTGACCGAGGACTCTGCGGGGACAAGCACAGCGCCAGCCGGGGCGAAAACCGGCTCAGAGCGGCCAGACTCTGACGGTGACACGTTTAGGAGATGGTACCCAACTGATTTCACTTAGACTTTGCTTCGCATGTACCCGTAAGAATAACACATGATTAAAATAAATTTCTAAATGAGTCTAAAAAAACTTTACGTAAGTATAAAATCTAAATGACAAAGGAAAGCAGGTGTGAAAGTATTTTTTTCTTTCCTAATCGTACATAAACATGGCTTCTTAAACTCAATAACGTCTTAGATTTGATGAAGTACGTTCACGGCACAGCACAATCCCACTTTGGCAAAAGTCTGTACACGTAAGTATGTGTGTACGAACACGCGGGCACTAAAGACATGCTATGGTTTGGGTTTTTTTTTAAAGAGTTTATTTACTTATTTGTCGGAGAGCGGGCACGGCAGAAGCAGGGGAGGCGGCAGGCAGTGGGAGAAGCAGGCTCCCGGCCGAGCAAGGAGCCCGACGCGGAACTCGATCCCAGGACCACGGGATCAGGACCTGAGCTGAAGGCTCAGACGCTTCACCAACTGAGCCACCGAGACACCCCAAAACATGCCATGTTAACAGTTATTTCTGAGTGGTGAAATTTCAAATGATTCTTACTTTTTATACTTTTCTGAGTTGTTTCAGCCTTTCAGAATTAATGCATATTATCCCAATAATCAGAAGAAAGGATCTTCATTTGAGGGGAAACTATTTCAGAGTAATACACGTTTGTGAGTATTCACCTCCTCTAAGCACTCGTTACTTCGGTGGTGACGGCTCCAGAGACCAACTGGCCAAAACCAAACTACAGGGGCGCCTGGGGCCTCAGTCAGTGAAGCGTCTGCCTTAGGCTCAGGGTCATGATCCAGGGGTCCTTGCTCAACGGGGAGCCTGCTTTTCCCTCTGCCTGCTGCACCCTTGCTTGGGCCCTCTCTCGCCCTGAGAAGTAAATAAATAAAATCTTTAAAAACAAAACAAACTAAACCCCCAACCTCAAGCCTCCCAGTGACTGCCTGTCACTCTGTGTCTCCCTGGACGAGGCAGCCATGAACTGTCCGGGAGGAAATACAAGCATGTTAGGAATACTACTGGTGCAAATAGAAGTGAGAACTACAAGGTCACGCTGTTATCTCGGAAACCTTCTGAATTTAACCTGTTTGACAACTCTACATTTGGTATCAAGCACAAACGCCTCAAGTTAAAAACAAAATCATATTCCTACATGGTTATTACAAATTTAAGTTTAAGAAATTTCCCTGTCAGGGGCACCCAGGTGCCTCAGAGGGTTAAGCCTCTGCCTTCGGCTCAGGTCATGATCTCAGGGTCCTGGGATCGAGCCCCGCATCGGGCTCTCTGCTCGGCAGGGAGCCTTCTTCCTCCTCTCTCTCTGCCTGCCTGTGATCTCTCTGTCAAATAAATAAATAAAACCTTTAAAAAAATAAAAAAAATTTAAAAATTAAAAAAAAAAACTTTATGTACAAAAACAGGGGCACCTGAGTGGCTGAGTTAGTTAAGCAACCAACTCTTGGTTTCAGCTGAGGTCATGATCTCAGGGTCAAGGGACTGAGCCCCACATGGGCTCTACGCTTAGCTCAGAGTCTGCTGGAGATTCTTTCTACCCCCTCTCTCCCTCTGCCCCTCCCCCTGCTCCTGTGACTAAGTAAATAAATAAAATCTTTAAAAAAAAAAAGGAAGTCAGGGAGAGGAAATCTGTACACCAAGGGGAAAGAGAACAGGAGGTCGTCCCATGGGCCACAGTCTGCTCACACCTGCTGTGAAGCATCAACCACAAGCCACTCCTTACTGCAGGCCTCTCCTCCCAGGGTTACCCTCTTGAAGTCTGGCTGTGCTTTCACATTTGCATTCTATAAACTCATAACCGATCTATGTACATGGCTCTCACTTTCTTTTATTTATTTATTTGAGAGAGAGAAAGAGGAAAAAGGAGAGAAGCAGGCTCTGTGCGAACCAGGGAGCCTGAAGTGGGGTTCGATGCCTGGACCCTGAGATCATGACCTGAGCTGAGATCAAGAGTCAGACACGTAACTAACTGAGGCACCCAGGTGCCCCCTGTGCCTCTGATTTCCTAATAAAGTGGGACTGGGGCGCATGGGTGGCTCAGATGGTTAGGTGTCTGCCTTCAGCTCAGCGAGGAGTCTGCAGAGTCTGCTTCTCCCTCTGCCTCTCTCCCCTGCTCACCTTCTCTCTCTCTGTCTGTCTCTCTCTCAAATGAATAGGTAGAATCTTTAAATTTAAAAAAAAAAATAAAGTGGGAATTATTCTGTACATGTTTTTAACAGTTTTCCTTTAACAGACAATTCAAGTCTTTCACTCTCCAATCTTTCCAATTTTTCACTCTCCTAAGTACTAGTCTTGTGAAACACTTTTCCACGCACCCTTGGACTCTTCGGCCACGTGGCAGTAAGCCATGGTCAGTGATGCATGTGCCCTGGAGCAATCCAGCTGGGGGGGGGGGGGGCGGTCAGAGGCTGTGAACCAGGGAGGGGGCAGAGTCAGGGACCGGTACAGATAGGGAGGGAGCAGCAGGGGAGGATGGAAGTGCAAATACCCAGGCCACCGCTTACCTTTTTCAAAAATGCTGCCGCTGTTTCTCTCTTGGTGGCTGTGATCCGCTTCACCCCGTCCGGGGACTGGACACGAATTATCTGTCACCAATGAAACAAGGCGGTTACTGCACAGACTAGTAAGTTCCTGATCTGACTGAGACTAACACCTGCGTCTTTCAGCATCTGGGTCACCGAAACTTAGAGCCAAACCTCTCCCTTCCCCGAGGAACACCAGGTGCTTCGAGAAGAGCAGCAGACGCAGATTCATCAACCCATGCAAGGACTTCCTGACGGGGCGGCCCTGACTCTCAACTCTGGTCATTTCACTCAGAAAAATGTTTAACCATTATTTCTCTTTGGATTTACGGAAACAACAATACAACAGCAAGAAAAAAACAAAAAAAATCCTTCATGGATCATGAATGACTGGGTTCGTTAAAAAAGATCTCTTTGGGGACTCCTGGCTTGCTCAGTCGGTGAAGCATCCAACTCTGGGTCTTGGGGTTTTGACTTCGAGTCCCACATTGGGTGTAGAGACGAGTTAAAAAATAAGTAAAAAATTTAAAACACATCTGATTTAAAAAATAAAAAGAGAAAAGAGAACAAAGTGAGTTTTGTTCTAAAATCTATATGCAAAGATCAGAATGATCTAAAAGAGTCATAGGATATCTTCTAATTTGTCATTTACCTTTACTAGAAAAAGTGAAAGAAATAAAGGTGTCTAACCTCATGGTAAACATACCAGGGTTTTAAAAAAATACTTTTACAGCAACCCTGAAATGGCCGGCAGGCCTGGAACACTGCACACAGAGCACCACCTTCTAGGACTCGATTTTTATACAGATCAAAGTCCTTCTGAAGGCGGGTGAGTCGCTCTGGCCAACTGCACACGTTCCTGCTCCCATCAGGGAGCGTGGAAAGGCACAAACAGGGCAGACGATGCTCCAACCACCTGAGGGGAAGAAAGAGTCAGAACACCACCAAGTGCGCAGGGCAGCTCGGTTCAGCCATTACTGCACGGAAAACAAACACTTAAAAAAAAAAACCACATACCCTTTACATATGAAAAATGTCCTAAGCCATTGTTTTTTAAAAGATTTTCAGGGGCGCCTGGGCAGCTCAGTGGGTTAAAGCCTCTGCCTTCGGCTCAGGTCATGATCCCAGGGTCCTGGCATCGAGCCCCGCATCGGGCTCTCTGCTCAGCGGGGAGCCTGCTTCCCCCTCTCTCTGCCTGCCTCTCTGCCTACTTGTGATCTCTGTCTGTCAAATAAATAAATATTTAAAAAAAAAAAAAAAAAAAAGATTTTTCAGGGCAACTGAGTGGCTCAGTCGGTTGGGCGTCTGCCTGCGGCTCAGGTTGTGATCCTGGGGTCCTGAAATCGAGCCCTGCATTAGGCCCCCTGCTCAGTGGTAAGTTTGCTTCTCCCTGTCCCACTTTCCCTGCTTGTATTCCCTCTCTCGCGGTCCCTCTATCTGTGTCAAATAAATAAATAAAGTCTTAAAAAAAAAAAAAAAGATTTTCAGGGCACCTGGCTGGCTTAGTCGTTAAGTGTCTACCTTCAGCTCAGGTCATGATCTCAAGGTTCTGGGATCAAGTCCCACATCGGACTCCCTGCTCCACAGGAAGCCTGTTTCTCCCTCTCCCGCTTCCCCTGCTTGTGTTCCCTCTCTCACTGTGTCTCTCTCTCTCTCTCTCTCTCTCTCTCTCTGTCAAATAAATAAATAAATAAATTTTCACTGGGGTGCCCGGGCGGCTCAGTCAGGGAGGACTGCAACTCTTGATTTTGTGTTGTGGGTTCAAGCTCCACGTTGAATGTAGAGAAGACATAAAAATAAAATCTTAAAAAAAAGTTTTAATATTAAAAAAAGATTTGGGGCACCTGGGTGTCTCAGTGGGTTAAAGCCTCTGCCTTCGGCTCAGGTCATGATCTCAGGGTCCTGGGATCAATCCCCACATCAGGCTCTCTGCTTGGCAGGGAGCCTGCTTCCCCCTCCCCCCCACCTGCCTCTCTGCCTACTTGTGCTGTCTGTCAAATAAATAAATAAAATCTTTAAATAAAATAAGATAAAATAAATTTTAAAAAAAGATTTCACTGAAACAGGAGAAAATGCCACAATGGCTTTGATCAACTGTCCACTTTTATCAAACACAGTAAGATTAATCTAGATTTCCCTAAAATAGTTTGATTTTCTCATTTTCTATTTTCACTTTACTGAGAAGGCTTTACCCTGATACTGTTCTCAATTTTCAAGATTGTCTTGGATAATCCTTATGAAATCCCATTTTTTTTTTTTTTTAAGATTTTATTTATTTGACACAGAGAGACACAGTGAGAGAGGGAACACAAGCAGGGGGAGTGGGAGAGGGAGAAGCAGGCTTCCCGCTGAGCAGGGAGCTCGATTCGGGACTAGATCTCAGGACTCTGAAATCACACCCTGAGCTGAAGGCAGACCCTTAAGGACTAAGCCACCCAAGCGCCCCGAAATCCCACTGTTGAGGCATAAAGTATCTTCTATCTTTCTGCTCCTCTCTCGGTCATCGGCGCGGACTGCAATCCAAACTCTTCCGACGTCGCTCTATTCAACACCTAGAAACGCGTCTTCAGAATACGCAGCACGGCACCAGCCCGCTACTGCCCTTCTTTCGCGACATCTGTCTCCCACACTGCGGCCCGTTAAGAGCTTGGTTTCTCTGTGGGAGACTCTGTGACCATCCCTCTGTGCACGTGGGAACGAGGGCAGGACACTGCAGGCGCTGAGCAGCTCAGGGTCCGGCCCGTCTCTGCAGGGCTCTGCATCTCGACAAGCCGTCCTCTCCGGCCACCTGCAGCGGCCTCGCCGCGGAGCCGGGCTCGGACTCCCGCAGACTCGCGCCCGTGAGCGGAGGAAGTTCTCGCTTGGACTCCGCCGCAGGCTGCGAGATCCAGAAGAGGCAGCCCCGGCGTCGCAGACACCCAGCATCCTGGCTGCGCGCGTTTTCACCGTCTGTACGGAAGGAGCCCGGAGCACGTCGTGGGAGAGTGGAGCAGCCGGCGAGACCGGAGGCAGGTGCGCCCGGCCAGAAGCCGAGCGGGGCCGCCGCCCACCGACACACCGGCTGGAGCGCGGCCTTTCCTAGACGGCGCGCGCGCCCGCGGCACCCGAGCGAGCCCCCCGCAAGCGGACTCCCTGAGTTCCCGCTCTGCTCCTTTTCTGGAGGGCAGCGCGTCAGGCAGTCCCACTCGAGGGGAGGCCACGATCTTGTTGCCCTCGGGCCGCTTACTCCCTCGGCTGGTCCCCAGGCCCGGAAAGACAGGAGGCGGAGGAGGGAAGCCTTCGCCTCCAGCTCCTGCCGCAGACCCGGGCCGCCCAGAGCCGAGCCCGAGGCCGCGCCCGGCAAAACGCAGACGCCACCGGCCGGGAACGCGTGAGTGTGACCCGCTCCCCAGTGCGGCTCTGCCTTCCCCGGGAGCCCCACTATGCCTTAACGTTCACCCAGGCCGCGCCGCCCGGCTCTGCGGACCGCGTCCCAGACTCACGCCTTGGGAGAAGCCGGGGCCGGAAACCCAGGGCGGTTTGGGCTCCAGGTTTATTTTTCTCACTTTCGCCGGCTTCCTTAACTTCGAGGGCGACGGGGCGAGGGCACAGGCAACTCCCGGCCGCACGGAAGCGCCCTCCTTCCCCAACAGGTGGCTGTCACCGCGTCCCAGCGCGCCCAGACCGACAGCAGCCGCCGCCGGGGTCCCGTCCTCGCAGCCCCCGCGGCCGCAGCGCCCTCCCCGCGGGGCCTCGAGCCCAGGCCGGGGCGCGCCCCGCTTCCGACGGCCGCCCTGCACTCGGCCCCGCACCCGGCCCGGCCGCCCCGCACACGGCCCCGCACCGGGCCGGGCGGAGCGCGCGGAGTCGGCGGTCGCGGAGCGGCGGGACGGGAGGCCGCGAGCCCGGGCCGGGAGGCGGGAGCGGCCCGGTGCTGGCCGCCGCCCCACAGGCCGCGCCGGTAAATCTGCTGCCTCATCCCGGCGCCCCGCTCCGCCCCCGCCCCACTCACGATGCTCTCGGCCATGGCGGCCGCTCCCGTCTCCGGGCTCGAGCCCCGGGCCGCCGCCGCCGCCGCCTGCCGCCCCGCGGGCCTCGAAGCCTCGGCCCCGGCCTCAGCCCCGGCCTCCCGCCGCCGCCGCCACCGCCGCTCCAGCTTCGCCGCCGGCCGCCACCGCCGCGCGACGTCCGGCGCCTCGTCCAACGCGCTCCGCCGGCCGCGCAGCCCGGAAACCGAGTTCCGGCCCTCCAACGGCCCGCGCATGCGCATGCGCAAGCGGGGCGGCCGCGGGCCGGGGGCGGGGCGCGCGCGGGGCCCTGAGCTCCCGGAAGGACGACTTTGCTCGTGGCGCGCGCTCCTTTCTGCAAACCCAGTCAGGGCAGGAAGGTCGGAGAAGAAGCAAAAGCGAGCGTGCGCCGTCGCCCCGAAATCGTCGTGCTGGGCCATAGTGCGGGGCCTCGAAGCCCTGGGTCCGGCGGGTCGCCTGCGCGTGGACGGATCGTGTCAGGACGGTGACGTCACACCGTCCTGGCAGGAAAAGGAAAGCAGCGTCTCCGCGAACCTAACGCGAGGCAAACAACCGAACTTAGACTGCATCTCCCGAGGCCCGCCCCCCGCCGAGGCCTGGATGCAGGGCTGGGTGCAGGGTTTGCAGGGGTGCAGGGCTTGGGTGCAGGGCTCAGCGGTCAGCCTCTCGCAATTCCTGCTGGTTTCCAGCGGGGAGCTCCCCGTCCTCGTGCTGCACCGGGCCCTGCAAATTCTGTAGCGGACCTGACCTTGCCCGTGACTGTGGGGGAAAGTTACCAAAACGTGTAAAATCCGTTTTTTTAACCCCATGGCTCCACTCCAGGTTGTATTTATGTATCTCCTGGACTGAGATTCCTCCCCCTTCCGACCCCTCAGCTTCCCGGGTTCCAACACCTCAGGTTCAGCAGCTAGTCCACCTGCCGGTCCACCCCCCCCCCCCCGCAAGGACCTACGAGGCTTCTGCCCGGCCAGCGGCGGGGCCCACGCTGGAAGTAGAGCAGAAACAGGAGAGATTCCCACCCTGATGGGATCCACCAGCAGGAGGCAGCTTGCAAACACATCAGCTATGCAGGGACGCAGTGTCCAGTAGCGGACAGCCACAGCCACAGCGGGGGAAGGGATGGAGGGTGATTGAAGCTATTTTACATATGATGGTCCAGAAAGACCTCTCTGAGGAGACGGCATGTGATCAGGTCCCAGATAAAGCATCTGAGGGAAGAGTGAACAAGGAAAGCCTGTGCAAAGGTCCTGGGACCTGGGAAGTGCTGGGTGCTCCAGGAACAAGGCGGCTGGCGTGGATGGGGGTCCTGAGTGAGGACAGAGGAGGGCTGGGTCAGGAAGAACCATGTGAGACATGGAAAGGCCTTTAGATTATATTCTTTTTAAAAATATTTTATTTATTTATCCAACAGAGAGAGACAAAGTGAAAGAGGGAGCACAAGCAAGGGGATTGTGAGAGGGAGAAGCAGGCTCCCCACTGAGCAGGGAGCCCGATGCAGGGCTGGATCCCAGGACCCAGGCACCCGGATTCTATTCTTAAGTGTGTTCGGTTAGAAAGCCTTTGAAGGACGAGAGCAAAGAAGGCATCCTCTCCTGATGCCTGGGGGACTCAGCCAGTGCAGTGACTGCCTTCGGCTCAGATCATGAGCCCAAGGTCCTGGGATGGAGCCCCACATTGGGCTCCCTGCTCGGCGGGAGACTACTTTTCCCTCTGCTTGTGCTCACTCTATGAAATGAATAAATAAAATCTTTTTAAAAATAAAAAAATTGGGGTGCCCAGGGGGCTCAGTGGGTTAAGCATCTGCCTTCGGTTCAGGTCATGGTCTCAGGGTCCTGGGATCAAGCCCCACATCAGGCTCTCTGCTCAGCAGGGAGTCTGCTCCCCGCCGCCCCCCCCCCCCGCCTGCCTCTCTGCCTACTTGTGATCTCTCTCTGTGTCAAATAAATAAAATCTTTTTTAAAAAATAAAATAAAAACTTTTAAAAAAAAAAGGCTCTACCAGTAGTCATATCACTTTGTAAGGACTGCCTTAGCAAAATTCCACAGACTGTATAACTTAAATGTATTTTCTCCTGGATCCAGAATCTGGAAGTCGGAGATCAAGGTGACAGCCCGTCGGGATCTTCTGAGGCCGCTCTCCTTGGCTGGCAGACCTCTGTATCTTTCCTCTGTGCTCAGGCATCCCTGGTGTCTCTGTGTGTCCCAATTTCCTCTCTGTATGAAGACACTGGCCTCATTTTAAGTTGATTACCTCTTTAAGGGCCATCCCTCCAAGTCCTCTTCTGAGGTTCTGGGGGTTGGGACCCCAACATATGGATTTGGGGGAAACGCAATTCAGCCCCTCGCTGTGATGGTCACTGTAATTTCACTTAGCATTGCCCAGTGTCAGGACAGGAGGGAGACAGAGCTGGAGAGGTGATTGTCACGATGAGAGCCTGGCCTTGGAGCTGGATGAAGCAACTGGATGCAGCTGGAGGTGGTCCTGGTTTGTCACTTCGAAGAAAAGATGAGAGAAGGCTCGGCCGCGCCGGGTCAAATCCGCAGCCTTCTTCTCGGCCCTGGCTGCGGCCCCCACCCAGCAGCCTGAGCACTCCCTTCTCAGCGGGGGTCAGGTCCTGATCCTGCTCCACCCACCCCCTCTCCCTCGGAGAGGACCCCACCCCAGTGGACCCACCTGGCTCTCCAACCCTCCCTTCCCACACGTTTCTCCTCTTCCCCTTTTTTTTAAATTGAGATGAAATTCACGCGGCACGCAGTCAACCATTTCTCAGTGAACAGTTCGGTGGCATTTAGTGCTCTCAAGACCTGCGACTACCTCCTGTATCTACTTTCCAAGCATTTCCGTCACCCCCAGAAGGAAACCGCACCCCCGTTCAGCAGCAGCCCCCCATTCCCCTCCCCCAGCCCCCGGCAACCACCCATCTACAGACTCACCTATTCTGAATATTTCATGTGAATGGAATGATAGGGACGCGGACTTGAGCGTCTGGCTTCTTTCGTTGAGCGTTTTCCAGCTCCGTCCCTGTCGTCGCAGGTGTCAGAACCCCTCTTTACGGCCGAGTAGTAGTCCACGGGGTGCATGGAGCACATTTTGATAATCCACTCTTCGTTGATTGCTGTCCGGGTTGTTTCCACCTTTCGGCAACTGTGGATAGCGCTGCCGTGAATATGCGTGTCTGTGTATTTGTGTGAGTCTCTGTTTTCAGTTCTTTGGGGTTCAGTGAGGCCCTCGCTGATCAACTGACATAAGAGACAGCCCCCTGACTCTTCACCCTCCTTTCATGGCTTCATACTTCTGACGACCGTGTAGAATCACATATATTCGGGGCTCCTGGGGGGCTCAGTCGTCCAGCCTCTGCCTTGGGCTCAGGTCATGATCCGGGAGTCCGGGGATCGAGCCCTGCCTCGGGCTCCCTGCTCAGCGGGGAGCCAGCTTCTCCCTCCCCCACTCCTCCTGCTTGTGTTCCCTCTCTCACTGTGTCTCTCTCTGTCAAAAAAAAAAAAAAAAAAAAAAAAAAAAAAAAATCACATATGTTCACCTGTTTACCCCCTTGCTTTGTGATGTCGCCTCCACCGGAGGTGAGCGCGTGCTCACTAGGGCGTTGCAGGTTTTTCCGCTGCCGCATCCCCAGGACGCAGGACGCTCCCTGACTTCGATCGGTGGCCAGCTGTCCCAGCTATCTGTGGCCCAACTGCGTCTCTATTGTAAATTTGTTGTCACGACGATGCTGTGAAATGAACTCTCCCGAAACGCAGTGGCTTCACCCAACAGCCGTTTACCATCCTCCTGGTCCTGCAAGCCAGGAATGGGGACGGGGCCAACAACTACAAAACGGAGTGGAGAGTGTCCCGGAAGAAGGGGGGGCTCTGCCTGCGGGGTGGGGCGTGGTCCAGAGCGAGACCCAGGGAGATTTTGGGGGCAGCACAGGCGGAGGCCACACGCGTGCTGGGCCGTTCGCCGTCGGCAAGCACCCGTGTGGCCGGGTGGGTAAACTGAGGAAGGGCGGCTGCACTCCCAACACCGAACAGAAGCAGCCGGGGAGCAGCAGGGCAGAGGACGGTGAAGACAGGCTGGGCACGGGGCCTTGCCCAGGAGGCCCCCCTTCTCCTACCGTGCAAACACATGTGCAGAGCGCCCCCCACAGCCTCTAGAGGTCCCCACAAGCCAGAGACGGACATTCATTTTGTGACCTCCCGCGTCACAAAGGCACAGGGGAGGCGTGGAGAGCCATGTGCCCGTGTCCCCAGAGCCTTGGCAGTGGGTGGGGAACCGCTCTGAGCCTTCCTCCCCACGCCACGCAAGCCGAGGATAGAGGACGGGACAGGGTCAGAGGGCCTCGGGCGCCCCAGTGTGCGGGGCAGCTGCGTGGCCCGGGGCCTTCCAAGCTCTGGGCCCAACGCTGACTGTGACAGAGGCCAGCCCTGACAGGAGAAGCTCATGACGACAAAAGAGCCCGCTTCCCTCAAAACCAGGAAGATGTGATCTGGCCAGTGGAGACTGTCTCGTTCTCACAGAGACTAAATTGGGGGTGACCCAACAGGTCTGGCCCGTCTCCCAGGATCGTTTCCCTGAGCTAGTTCTCAGGGCTCTCCTGTCCCGGGGGAGCTGGGGGAGCAGCCGCCAGGCCCACCAGACCGAGACCCACAGGGCACCCCTGTCGTGGTGGCCATGGGGTGGGGAGGACAGCCCCGCCACGTCACGCCTGCCCAAAACTCCAGGGAATCCCCCAGCGAGGCTGTGACTCTGCCCTCGGGGGGGTGCTCTGGGTCTCCACAGGAAGGGGCTGTCTTAAGCCCTACAGTGTGACGCCTCACATGACCTGGTCATGACTGTGGCATCCTGGCTTGGCTCGCAGCTCACCCGGCCCTGGGCTGCAGAGCTCGCGGGACGGCTGAGGGCACTCCAGTGTCCGAGCTAGAGACGCCTGGCCGGGGACCAGCACACCTGTCCGGGTGCAGAATGGAGGAGGGGGAAAGGCGCCCCCTGCTGTCCCAGGTAAGCCAGTGCCCTGGTGGCCTCCACCGCCCCCCACCCTCCACTGGCAATGTCTCCACC